ATTATGCATAGAGATATTAAAGGTTCAAATGTTTTAGTTGATGATAATGATAATATTATATTAATTGATTGGGGTTTAAGTTAATTTTATGATGAAGGAAGACAGCAATCTACTAAAATGGGTACCAGATACTATAAAGCACCAGAATTATTAATGAAATATAAATAATATGATTATTCAATAGATATATGGGCAGTAGGATGTATGTTGGCAGATTTTATATTTAAGACACATCCATTATTACCTGGAAAGGATAATGAAGATTAATTAAAGAAAATAATATCTATGTTAGGAACAAATGATTTATATGAATACTTACAGAAATATGATATTAAGTTAGATCTGGATGAACTTCCTTTAGTTTAGAATCGAATAGATTTTACAAGATTAATAAACAGAAAGAATTAAAATTTAGTTAGTAAAGAAGGGATTGACTTACTTGAAAAAATCTTTATTTATGATCATGTATAAATTTAATATAATATGAATAGAAAAAAAGAATAAATGCAAGTTAAGCCCTTGAACATGCATTCTTCTTATGATTTAATTAAAATATATAATTTTTACAGTATATATAAATATAACTAAATTAATAAAACGTGTTGAATAATTAAATTAATAGATGAGTTAAGTGTCTCAAAGATAAAGAAGTCCTTCTCCTTAATCCCCAGAAAAGGTTGCTTAAAGAGAGAAAGCAGCTTAAGCAATGAAAAGACGTAATTAAACATAGCCAAGCTTTTTTGAAAAATATGCTTACCATTTGGTTATAGGAGCATTTGGATTTGTATGTGTTTATGCTTTGTTTTCCATATTGACAAGATCAAGCAAGAAATTAACAACAGCTCCTGTAATAGATGAAGAGGAAATAGCTGCTCATAATTCTTTAGGATCATATTAATAGGGACCAAATGATTTCTTTAAAGATTGGAAATTTAGTGATGCTAAATTTATTTTTAATAATCATTTGACATTCAAAGGAAAAATATAATAATGCCCTGAAAGTAGTGTTATTATTCCAGAAAGTTATAACTTCAGAGAAGCTTAACCAGAATGTGCATAACCAATCTATTTTTAAGGTATTAATATTATATTAAATAAAAAATAGGAAATTGTTCATCAAGTTATTCAATAGCAGCTGTTTCATCTACAAGTGATAGATTATGTAAATCTAGAAATGGAGAATTTTAAGAACAATTATCACCTTAATCTCCAATATCATGTGATGATAAAAATTATAAATGTGGAGGTGGTAGTGTAACAAGAGTTTTAGAAGTTGGTAAAAAATAAGGATTTGTATCAACTTCATGTTTACCATATACTGGAACTGAAGATGCTTAAAATGATTGTGATGCTTTATTTTCTAATTGTGAAAAATACAAGATTTAAGATTATTGTGTAGTTTCAAGCGAAGAAAATATTAAAAGAGAAATCTTGAATAATGGTCCAGTTGTTGCTGTGATTTAAGTCTTTAAAGATTTCCTTGTTTATAAAGGAGGAATTTATGAAATAGTAGAAGGAAGTTCAAAGTATNATTATGCATAGAGATATTAAAGGTTCAAATGTTTTAGTTGATGATAATGATAATATTATATTAATTGATTGGGGTTTAAGTTAATTTTATGATGAAGGAAGACAGCAATCTACTAAAATGGGTACCAGATACTATAAAGCACCAGAATTATTAATGAAATATAAATAATATGATTATTCAATAGATATATGGGCAGTAGGATGTATGTTGGCAGATTTTATATTTAAGACACATCCATTATTACCTGGAAAGGATAATGAAGATTAATTAAAGAAAATAATATCTATGTTAGGAACAAATGATTTATATGAATACTTACAGAAATATGATATTAAGTTAGATCTGGATGAACTTCCTTTAGTTTAGAATCGAATAGATTTTACAAGATTAATAAACAGAAAGAATTAAAATTTAGTTAGTAAAGAAGGGATTGACTTACTTGAAAAAATCTTTATTTATGATCATGTATAAATTTAATATAATATGAATAGAAAAAAAGAATAAATGCAAGTTAAGCCCTTGAACATGCATTCTTCTTATGATTTAATTAAAATATATAATTTTTACAGTATATATAAATATAACTAAATTAATAAAACGTGTTGAATAATTAAATTAATAGATGAGTTAAGTGTCTCAAAGATAAAGAAGTCCTTCTCCTTAATCCCCAGAAAAGGTTGCTTAAAGAGAGAAAGCAGCTTAAGCAATGAAAAGACGTAATTAAACATAGCCAAGCTTTTTTGAAAAATATGCTTACCATTTGGTTATAGGAGCATTTGGATTTGTATGTGTTTATGCTTTGTTTTCCATATTGACAAGATCAAGCAAGAAATTAACAACAGCTCCTGTAATAGATGAAGAGGAAATAGCTGCTCATAATTCTTTAGGATCATATTAATAGGGACCAAATGATTTCTTTAAAGATTGGAAATTTAGTGATGCTAAATTTATTTTTAATAATCATTTGACATTCAAAGGAAAAATATAATAATGCCCTGAAAGTAGTGTTATTATTCCAGAAAGTTATAACTTCAGAGAAGCTTAACCAGAATGTGCATAACCAATCTATTTTTAAGGTATTAATATTATATTAAATAAAAAATAGGAAATTGTTCATCAAGTTATTCAATAGCAGCTGTTTCATCTACAAGTGATAGATTATGTAAATCTAGAAATGGAGAATTTTAAGAACAATTATCACCTTAATCTCCAATATCATGTGATGATAAAAATTATAAATGTGGAGGTGGTAGTGTAACAAGAGTTTTAGAAGTTGGTAAAAAATAAGGATTTGTATCAACTTCATGTTTACCATATACTGGAACTGAAGATGCTTAAAATGACTGTGATGCTTTATTTTCTAATTGTGAAAAATACAAGATTTAAGATTATTGTGTAGTTTCAAGCGAAGAAAATATTAAAAGAGAAATCTTGAATAATGGTCCAGTTGTTGCTGTGATTTAAGTCTTTAAAGATTTTCTTGTTTATAAAGGAGGAATTTATGAAATAGTAGAAGGAAGTTCAAAGTATTCTATATTTTAAATTAATTAGATTCTAATTTGGTCATGCAGTTAAAGTTATTGGTTGGGGTAAATAAGATGGAGTTAATTATTGGATTATTGAAAATTCATGGGGAGACACTTGGGGTATGAAAGGATTAGCTTATGTTGCTGTCGGTATATTTAATTTCTTATTTCTTTAGGTCAAAACTAATTATAATTAGAAGCTTATTCTGTTGCTCCAATTATTGCAGTATCTACAGAAAAAAGTGCAGAATGAGTTTTAACATATTGTTTACATTATTGTTAATTTTATATTAAGTATAAAAGCTTATTTAATTAATAAAAGATTTCTATTTTAAGAATTTCATATTATTATCATTATAAATCTTTTTATAGAATCTAATAGGCAAAATTACAAACTTAAGTGAACATCAATGCCATACTCTACAAAGTCTCTCCTGGTTATAACAATTTACGAACTTCTACTGATTTATCTAATTTAATATAATTGTTAATTTATTACTATTTTATTACAATTATGCACTCTAATTCAAAACTATTTGTAGTATACCAAAAGCTAAAGGTAATGTAAATATTGGTAATCCACTAGTCATATCTACTGATTAATGAAATGAGTGATGCTATTTAATATTACCAATAAGCAATGCTTCCTATGTTTTTGCTACATAACCAATTACTCCTATATCAGAACTATATTCACTAGTATGAATATCATCTTTATATGTATAAATGGTCCCTTAACTATAAAAGAAAAATCTACTGCTAGCAACACCAAAAAGTGTTTCAGCATGGCTTTCAATTGATTTTTACAATTTATATTTTGATTTCTACCTTGATAATTCTATAAATGCTTCAAATAGAAGATTTTTATATCTCAATTAATAATTTATTAACTTAAATTACAATACCTTATCAATTATAGCCAACAATAATTAGGATATCAATAAACCTAAATATTTTGCATCTTGCTTTTTATTATTTAGATTCTCTAATGATATTATACCAATCAATCTACTCTCATTTAGTAAAGGAATAAGATAACAGTCCTTTGCAAATCTAGCAGTATTAATATTTCTATAAACAAATGCCTATTGTTTATAAATTGGCTATGAAGACTTTACTACATTCAGAAATTCATCTGTGTCTATATATGCATTAACCAACTCATTTTTTTAATTATAAGTATAAAATGTTGCTGTCTATTAATCTATCAGCCATAACTAAATCAATTCACAATTAAATAACTATGAATCACAACTGAGCTTTTACATTAATTATTCTATCTAATCTATCTTTAAGAGCTATTTGATCAAATTTATTAAACTATTTACACTTTCTCCTAAGTTTTTATACTATACAAATAAATCCATATATATGCTAATTTAGTCAACTTAATGTTGTTAATCCATTTGAAATAATTAATCAATAGCTTATTTGATACCACATTCTAATAAGTCTTGTACTTAATTCTTTTGCCTCTATTTTAAATTATTATATTTAAAATCTAATTTATTTGGCAAGTTCACTTACTAAAAGACATCAACTGTCTCATCATCTGGATCATTCTATTCTACTATAGTCTTTTAAGCTATAGTATTTCCATTTAAATCATAGGCTGAATATCCTAATAATTTTAATTGTTTCTCTAAAAGCATGTTTCTCTTTTGTAGTTTCTAATTTTTTTCTTTCAAATCTTAAACTGCTTGTTCTAATTTTGAAACTTCTTGACATTTTTAGAATGCCTTTCTCTTGTTTGCTTCATTTTCTTTTAACATGTCTTCAATAATATTTCTCAATGTATCTTTATCCTAAAATATTTTTTGTAGAATTTTACTTTTTTATAATCACTTCCACTTAAAACTTCTAGTCTTTATTCTAATGTAAAAACTCTTCTTTAATTTAATTAATTTTAACTAGCTTCTTTTCTTAATGTTTTCTTATAAACCTAAGTCTCTTCATTTGTATGTTGAAGATGCTACTTAATTGATTGCATATTTTTTTCTGTATATTCGTTCTACTTTTGAACTATCTCAAACTGATTTTACAATTTAGCATACTTTAATCTCATATTCTAAAGATCTCTATACAATTTATTTGAATCTAATTCTGTAACTTAAGCTTATTATAATGACTCTTATAAAGATTAAATTATTTTCTTTAGGTTAAAGAGATCAGCTTCTTTAAGTATTTTAAGTTATTCAACCAATGCATCTGCTTACTATAATCGTTATTAACAAAGATGCAAATGAGTTTATTATATCCTATAGATTTCATTCATTGAGTTTGAATAATTTATAAACTCACTAATTATGTTACTATCAACCTTATCTTTGAAAGAATTAATTAAGTCATCTAAATAGCCATGCATAAAGTTTTATCCTTAAGGCTTTCTGGATTTTACTTATCTAATTTACAAGTATTTTCTCTATAAAGAATCTAATTATGCCTCTTTCTATTGTAATAGACTATGCAAAGATTATGTGCTTGACCCTAATCATTCATATTTACTTATCAATATTAGAATCTGATTCAAAATACAATTTACTAGTTTGGATTGGTCTTTAATCTACTCTTGCACTTTGCTTTCTCATTGATGGAGGAACACTTATCAAATCAAAGTAATTATTTCCCTATATTTCTGAAATTTGAGGTTACATCAAATTTTTTATTATAAAAATTATTATTTTATTTATCATCATAACCTTGCCATTCAAAACTTGCCAATTATTTCAAAATTCAATACTCATAGATAGCTCTATTAAAAATCCATAGTTTTCTAATATGATTTGATTTCATTATGTATTTTCTTCAAATTTCATATCTTAGCTAAAATATTATTGTTGATTCATTATTAGAACATAAAATTATTTTTAGCTAAATTTTATTTCTATCACTTTAAATATCTACTTTATTGATATCAGATATCTGATAACTTTAAATAAATCATCCTTTAAAAAAGATAAGCAAAATAAATCATTAGTAAATTAAAATGCAATAAACATATATCGAAAATTGTATCATTAACTTAAATATGATTTTAAATATAAATAGCAGTTATGCTCATCTTTAAATTTTAATTAACTCTTGTCAATCAGAAACTATTTAGTCTCTATTTAAAAGCTTTTTTCTTTTCACAATATTATAGGCCAAACGCTAAATCATTCAATTTTGCTATTTTTGGTTTAAATTTGTGAGAATATCTCATAAAATAAAGAAAAGCATTTGTTTTTATTCTTTTAAACTCTAGTTAATATATATTAAAAGAGTTATTATTCACTAAGCATTTTCTAGATTTTATTTTTAATAATTTATTGTGATATTGATATTGATATTAATTTAATTTATAATGATAAGAATATAAAAATGTATAGGAGATGAAGAGATTGAATAAGAGAAAGATATAAACCTCTGGTTTGAAAGAATGTACACAGAGATAAGCACAAAATAATAAGAAACTAAATCAAGAACTGATAAATATAACGTTGGGATTAAACCTAAAGCTAAAAACCATAAAATTTGCTTTAGAGATGAAATTAATCCAGAAGCTGGATTAGAAGATGTTAATTTAGTTGAAAATTGGAAAGAATTTAATATTAAAGAAAGGGATCCTATAGATGATTGTTTTTGTTAAATCTCATGAAACTTATATTTATTTTATAATTTAAGAGACTAGTTGATTAAGTTTACAATAATTTTTGAAAATATAAAGCTTTCCTATATTGTTATTTTTTAAGAAATTAATGAAAAATTATTTAACTTAATTTACAGATATATTTAAATATTAATTATTTTCTTAAGATCCTTGAAACAGAAAGTTTATAATAAGGTTAAAAATAAGTTAAAAATTTAACATTGATAAACTTGAGATAGAAATATTTTCAAATCGTAAATGTTAACAAGCTAAATATTAAGGTTGCCAATTCAATTCTTTACATTTCTTAAAGTAAGATTATTTAGATATATACATAATTCTGAATAATATTCTATCCTTTACTTTTTTTTTAACTTTTAATGTACACTACCAAATATATCTTACCCCAAAAAACTCTGGTTTAATTAATCCCTTTATTGAGAAAAATTTTTTTGATTATTTTGAACACTTTTGAAAATCAATTCTCTAATTTTATTTTATCATTCATTATATAATCTTTGCATAACATATTTCAATGGCTTCTAATAAAATTTCAATCATCTATATATAAAATAGCAAATGTTATTGTTTTAATTTTTTCTATTCCATGCTTTAATTGAATACTGATTAATAGTTTAAGACCCTAAAATTACAATTACAATATATAAATTCCACAACTTTTCGTATTTCAATATTGATTAAGTTATTGTCAGAAAAGTTTTTAAAACTTATTAGAGAAAAGTTTTAAGTTCTGACAAGTGATTTGTTTAATTTTGGAATAAAAATTTTCTTATATAATGTTTTTAATTTTTTTAAGTCTTGGAAAAAAAAAAAAAAACCAATTAATTAGAATCAGTTCTAAGTAAATTGAATTAGAAAATATAAAGGATAAAAATAATAATAAATTCTTTTAATAGTTATTCCTAGAATTTATTTTCTATTCATCAACAAGATTTAATGATCCATCTTTATAAAATATCAAATATTATTTTTTCATTTAATATATCTACTTTATTTTTTAAATTATTGCATCTCTTTAATTTCTTTTTCTACATAGCTTTCTCTGATATTCTTCGAGTGATTTTAATTAATACCCTAGTTTTATTAATTTTAAGAAACCCATGTTTTATTTACTTTATCATTTCTTACATTTGATCTGTCACTTACTTGATAAGTATTTTATTTTTAATATTTTTATTCTTCTGCCTTTTTCATCTTTTCTATTTTTGCTAACTTTTCTTCTTTATTTTTATATAAGCATCTCAAAATTTTCATAATTTTTTCTCCAAATTTATCTGATTAATCTTATTAATTTTCACAATAATATTCACAACATTCTTTATAGTTTTAATTAAGATTTTTAAGTTCTTCTTCAAATTTTACAAAATCTTATTAAATTTCAGCTAAAATTGGTTAAAATTGAGTAGCAACAAGATCTCTTGGATTATCAGATGCTGATTCAATAGATTATAAAATTAAATTTTATCCTTTTTTAAATTCATTTAAGGTTTATTAAAGTTAAGACAAAGAAATCTTTTCAATAATTTCAAATTAAATTATCACTAAATAAAATGATTAAAAAATATACTTTATTAATTAATAACTTCTCTTTTCAAGATCTATTCTGACTTTTCGATTACATAATATAATAGATTTTATTGACTATCAATGCTTTTTAAATCTTTGCATTTTTCAATAGCTTCAAGTTTAAATGCTGCGGTATTTCCTTTAGATGTCTTAGCTACGTTTTACATTTTATATTACCATTTAGAAAATTTCCCAGTCTTAAAATTATCAAAATAATGATCTATAATTCTTAAGAATTCTTTAAGTTCTTAAAGGCTTCAGTAAGAAGAATTGTATCTTTTAGAAAGGTTTATTTATTATCCTGATAATTATATATGAATTGTAAAGCTTTGATTCTGAATTGAAAACCATTGACTTTTCTTAATGCATCTATATATAATTCTGATTATCCTAATAATGATTTATCTCCAGTAAATTCATTTAATAGTTCGACTTCATCTTAGGTAGGACATATTGCAACTAAAGAGTTTATTATATTCTCTGTTAATATTTGTAAATTCATTTAAAGTAGAGAATCAGTTAATAGATTAACATTTAAACGTAATTTACTTAAAATAATTTCAATATTTTGTGATCTTTCAGGTTATAATAATTTGATTTTAGATTATTTAGGATTAGTTTCTATTTTATTTACTGTTTATTTTAAATTTTCATTAGGTTTGCAGAAATTCATTTCTAAAAATGAAATATCTAAAGTAATGTCTTCATTTTAAATTTTTTCAAAAATAGTGTTGAAAGCCTTTTAATCAGGTATAATTGTCCAAAAAAGTGGCTTCATAGGGATAGATGGAAGAGGGTCTTATTTTCTAGATAATTATTAACTTTTTTGTTAATTATTCATTTATCCTTTTAATAAAGGTGGAGGTGGAGGTGGAGGTGGAGGTGGAGGTGGAAGTTATCCAGATACTCCAACTTTTTAAAAAGATGATGGTGGTGGTGGTGGAGGAGGAGGTGGAGGAGGAGGTAAAGTTGATGTAGGTTATATTTAAGTAATTTATTCTGTTGATTACTATTTTTAAATATTTATATTAGAAGGAGATTCTTTTTATTATGATACAGAAACATTAGATTAATCTTAAATTTAAATAGATTTAAAATCTCCTTAATTTTTAATTTATTCTTTAAGCTGATCAATTTCTTCTTACATTTTTTTCATTTTCTATCCAGTTTCTTCATTTATTTAATAATTTTAAATTGTTAATTCTTAAATTTTTTATTTATACTATTAACTCTATTATTTTAATTAATCTCTTAATTCATTAATTATTTCTTTTGCCTCCTGATATTTACTTTTATAATCATTTTATTCTGATTCTTATTCATTACATTTTTCATATACAAAATAACTATTTTCAGAAGAGGTTGGAGTTTATTCTCCTTCCATAATTCCATAATTTTATTTATATTCCTTTTCTAAAAAAAATTAATCAACTTCAATCTCTTTTGAGGATAATAAACTTATATTTTATATTGCATCAATCCATTCAATAACTGATTATTATATAGCTTTAAATACATGTTCCTAACCCTCTTCATAATAATAATACTTATCTTATAAAAAATTTTGATCCTAAATAATCATGTCAGAATAATATTCACCTTCAATATACATTTTTTCATCAACACCAGCTTCTACAAAAGAAGCAAATTGTTTTGTCAATCTATGTTCTTCAAAATTTTAATTTATTAAGGGATGCTCAAATTTTGAAAGTAGATTTTGAACTGCATCATATGTACAATCTTCCTTTTTATATATTTTTTTTTTTATTCTAAGTTTAATCTACTTAAAAACTTCTTCTAATAATTTATCATTTACAATTGTAGAATTCAATTCTGATGTAACTATTAATTAATTTTGATCATCTAACGAAAATAAATATCTAAATAGAAACTTAATAATCTGATATAACATAATTAGATTTTTGGTATAATACATTGTCTTTATGAATATTTAAAATCTTAATATATTGATAAGTATTACCTATTCTTGAATGAATATAGGTTTTACAAACTTTGAAAACCATATTAAATATTTTCAAAATTGTTATCTTTCCATGCTAATCCATTCTATCCAGCTACAATCTTAAAAACTAATCCAGTCACTTTAGGTTCTATTGGATGAAAATTTTAAATTATTGATTTAAAGCATTTTTGTTCCTAAAATAATAATTTGTGATTTATGTTTTTTATGTTTAATATTACTTAAAATAACTCTAATATCCTTATTTAATCTCTAAAGTTATTTGTAATTCTGGATATTTCTTCTATAGAAATTAATCTATCAGATAAATAGGAAATAAGATTCATATTTTTAATTAAATCAATTTTTTAAGCTATACATTTAGAATCAGAAAGGCTTTTACAAATAGCTATACTTAAATTATATATTTACTGCATATATCAACATCATTATAGTCATCGAATAATCTTAAAATAGTTTTCTACAATTAATCAATCTAAAACTTATTAGTCTACTACTCTAATTATTCCTATTATGAAATTTTTTATAGAATTTAATTGTGAATATAACAAATTCGATATTTATACTTCAATTCTACTGTCTTTAGTAGCTTAAGTTCAGAATCATTTAATATAAGCTTAAAATATTTTAAATGTTAAACTTCTGATTTCCATTTTTCAAATTTTTACAAAATTTCTTCTTTTTTAGGAATTTTCGGAAAATTTTTTGCTCCTTTAAGTTGATTTACTTTTATTTCGAAAACTTATCCAGTTTTAGATTTATAAGAAATCGTATCTCTATCACCTTACAATTTATTACCCATATAAAATAAAGATATTAATATTTAACTATATAAGAGAAATACATAATTATCAAGTATTTAAGATTAATCACATCCCCAAATTTCCTAGATAATTTGTAAAATCAGTATCTAAATATTATTATAAAAAAGTAATTACTTAATCCAGCACTTAAAACAAAACGATAGACAGATCCATCACTTGATATAATCAAAAAAATAAGTCCTTCATTTTCGATTTCTATATAAAATATTTTCAATACAATAAGAAAAATTAATAATTCCTATTTTTGATGTATTTTAATATATATGAAAAATAAGAGGATGCTACTCTGGCAGACTTGATATATCTTAAATTAAAAGTATTTCCCCTTAAAGAGTTGAAACAAGTAAATTAAAATCTTGATAAAAAGCAATTTATGTAATTAAACCAATATTTTTATATATATATCTTCTAATTAAAAAGCCATTAACTCTATAAATTTATTTTATATTATACCTTGTTACTATAATCTCACTATTCGTTGTTAATAAAGCAATAAGTCCATTTTTATTTGAAATGACATTCCATATTTTATCACCCTGACTTAAATTAAATCTTATTTCATTTAAAAACAAACCAGATAATATTGAATGTATTTATAATTTTCCTGTTTTATCTAAACTTATAACAATCTCCATATCATCATCAATTGTTACACATTTAATTGATTTTTCATGTCCGTAAAGGATATATTTTGGGGAAGATCCAAAAAATGGTATTTTTTCATTTGTTTATTATAATTTCCAAACTGTTACTCTATTATCTTTAGCTCCCAAACATAATACTTTTAATTTTGATGAATAACATAAGCATGTTACTCTTCTTTTATGAAGTTTAATTTTATTATATGCAGGGTTATTTTAAGTTTTATCTTAATGAAGATCAAAAATATATACAGCACCACTTAAATATCCAGCTACAAATAATAAATGATCATCCATTTAAAATTAATGACCAATTATATGATTTGGTTAAGTATTTCTGTAATTTTTAACAATTTAATTATTTTAATTCTTTAATATATCACATTTTTCTAAATGTAATTTTTCAACATCTTATATTGAAAATATTTAAGAAGATAGCAATTTTTCTTCACTTTCTTTTTTCTCTAAATTTATATTATATCTATTTTAATATATTTTAAATATTACTTTAATTTATAAACAGAACAATTATTTAATAATACATATAAATTATCGTTCTCTTTATAAGATTTTAATATAACCTTTTTATCTAATTTCAGCATTCTTTTATCATAAACTATTTTTTTCTCACTAAGAATTCTTACTAAATTTTATGGAGAATACAAATTTTATTTTAATATTTTCTTTGCTTTATGAGGTTTTTAAAATAATTAAAAAGGTATTTATCCAAAAGATTAAATTTAAGTTAAATAACCCATTTTTTCATGATATGATAATTTATCTAATGATTACCAACAAGTTTCATAAGTTAACCAATGATATAAATTATCTCTTTTTTTTGCTTCTTCTCCTTATGAATATGGTCCAAAAACTAAATTAATCCAATTATGTAATTTTTCACTTACAAAATAAGATTCAAGAGCTTTTCTATTAATTTCTATAAACTCTTCACAACTTTCTGCCCATGGAGGTAAAATGACATTATCAACCATTTCCTAGTTTTACCTTAAACCAAATTATATTTGATTAATATTTTTAAGAAATTCAGGAAAATAAAAGTATTCAGGTATCAATTCTCTAAAATCTTAATGATCATTTTAACATGAATCCCAAATATTAGGAATTGAAAAAAATATACGATCTGCCTAATCTAATTTTCCATCCTATAATTCACATTAAAGGGTTGTAAATGGTTCTATTCTTACTAAAGTATTTATTATTTAAGCTGCTACACTATAATGTGAACCAAATAAAAAATATTCCATTTAAGTCTATTTTAAAGATTCAGCTCTTTATTTAATATTTTCTAATCTCTCTTTATTTTAATTACCAATCATTTTGTCTAAATCTCTATACTACTCTCTATTATTCTAATTTATCAATATATATTATACTAAATCTATTTTTTTACTTGTATAATCACTAATAACCCAAGGAAATATAGGATATTAATTTAAATCATTGAATGATCTACCAGAATATTTATTTATTAACATCAAATATTCAAAATTTGATATTTCTCCTTCACGCCATTTATTTGTATAATTCCTAGCCTGAAACTCTAATACAAGTTTAAAAATTTACCTGCTCTTCTATCTACTACTATACGTATATAATTATTTTATTTAAAACAATTTAAAAATTAATTTCTTTTTTCAGTATCATATAATACAAAAAAGTATGATTTTTAACTTTTACAAAATATTTCTATTGCTATTTCTTTATGAGAATAACGTCGAGTCTATATTTCAATTATTGAAGCTGTATTTAAAGTTTTAATTGTTTTAATCTTTTTTAAATTGAAATTCTAGAAAGAATATATATATTTAAATTACTATTGTTCCATATTAATAGAATTCTTAATCAGGACGTTCCTTAGCATCACTTTGAAATTGTATAACTTTTCCTTTTTCTAGTATTCTTAATTCTCCAAATACTTACATTTTAACTCTTATCCATTCACATTAAAATATGTTTATATCATTTGAAATTGATGATCTTTATTCAAGAATAAAATCTAAATTTTTATCACTTTTTATATCTAATATATTTTGATTAAATTATATTAGTGGAGTTTATTTCTTAGGAGAAGTATTAAAGGTATAATTTCTTGAATTTCTTCTTCCTACAAATTATGATTTTACTTTCATTTCTTCATTATACTTATTTTAAAGGATTTTTTCATTAGAAGATCTAAAAATAACCTTTTCAGATGAAACCATATCTGTTAAATTTATATTTTTTATTTCTGAATCATTAGATAAAACTTAACTTTGTTCGTCAAATTAATTAGAATGCTAAATTTATGATATTTAATGCTATGAATTTTAATCTCCTTAATCTAAAATGAATTAAGAAACTGTTGGGACACCTTAAACATTTATAATTGAATTAGATATAGATCCACTTGTATCTATTTACTAACATTTTTATCTTTAATCTATAGGAGACTCTCCTTAAGATAATTAAGAACTATTTAATCTTTTTAAACTCAAATGAAACTATTGACAATTTAAGAAGTCTTCTCTACTTTTTCTCATATCTTTTACTAAAAATAATTATCTGCCCAAATTATCAAAGTAATTTGTTCTTCTATAAATTCCTTAATTTCCATTCTGTTATTAAACTGTAATGGTTTTCAATCTACTAGATCTTCTTTCGAAATTCTCCAAATTAAAATATGTTTAAGTAGAGATTTAGATTATAAACAGTATAATTTCAATATTATCTAAACTTAAAAACACTTCTGCTAAACCTGCATCTTCAACTATATTAACTCCCTAATTAATAACTTTTACTATTTGATTTATTTCATATTCCATTTTATGCTAAACTTGTTTTTTTATCATATTCATGAAAAAATTTTATTCTTATATTTCTTAGTATCTTGCTATTTTTATTGCATCTTTAATCTCTACTAATTCAAAAGAAGTTTTGAGTTTATCAATATCCAAATATTAAATTTCTCTACCTAAAAATAGAATTATTTAATACTTTCAATATCTTCATTTCCAGATGTAAATATTTCTTTTTCAATAATATCAATTAAATTATTTTAATTTCTTTAAAATATAGCATCTATTTATTTTGAATACAAATTCTTTTATATTAAAATAAAATTATTTATTGTTCCTTAAAAAGAGTTCTAAAATTATTAATTTATATAATATGTTCCTATATTTAAAGAAATATGATATTTTTCTGAATATTTCTTCGTATACTCTGTTAAAAATGATTTAATATGAAAACCCTTTTTTGGTTCATCTTAAATTTTAATTGAAAATGTATGCTTAGGTTTATCTTCAAACATAATTAATAATAAAATCAATTCATCTTTTGATTTTTAAGTGAAATTGAAATTTATGTCAAACATTTATTATTCAAAATTTAATATTGAAATTTTGAGAGAATTTTCTAATGGATTAATTTTCTAATTTTCATTAGAAATAGATGGTGGTTTTAAGAGGGCAACTCTAAGAAAGTCAACTTATTGAATATTATTATGCTTTTAACCTGATTAATTATTGATATTTTAACGTTCTATCTACCCACTCATATTAAATAAAACCTACTCTTCTTTATATATGTCTTCTTTTTGTTTAGCATTTGAATTAATAAAATAAAAGCTTTCTTTCTTAAATTCAATAAGTATACTAAAAGATTTCCATTTTTTAGTACATAAATCTTAATAGTTCTTGATCACTATACCACTCTCCTTACCTAACAATTAAATCTATTTTTTTCCTTTACAATCCTTACTAATATTAGAAAAAGTTTCTAAAGTAGCTCCAACATATTGAGAAAAATTAGATTATCTAAAAACTTTATTTTTCTATGGATCTTTGGGTGCATTTTGAATCATTTTTTAAATTTGATCATTTCTAATAAATGATAAAGATCTTTTTAGAACATCTTCCATTGATTACTATAGTTTTTTATTTTTCTGATTTCTCATACATTATAAGAAATTCTAATATTTAATATAATAATTTACAGATAAGCGTATACATTCTCTAAATATTAATTAATTATATTCATTATATGATAATAGAATGCCTAAAAATTATAGACATTTTTATTTTAAACATTCTGATGGATGATTATTAAAGATAAAAACTTCAACTAAAACCTAAAAATAAAAAAAAGTAATTATTACTTTTAAACAAAATTCATTTTATATAATAATTTCTCCATATTATTCTAAATAATCAGGCAAATTCTATAATTTGAGAAATCGACTTATCATAGAAACTGAACAATCTTATAAGAGTTCAATTATTTCCTTTTATTAATCGTCTGAAAAAAGATATAATTTTTGTTCTAAAAATTAAACAAACTCATCAGCAAATTCAACTTATGATAAATTCAAACCTTCTGTAAGCAACCATTCTAATTTAATAAACTCTTTTAAAATGTAAACAATATTAGTTGTATTTTAAATTCCTTATATTAATTTGATAATCATAGAATAATAATTATTTACTTAAAAAAATTCTTGAAAACTTTTTTTAATTTTATATTATTTTAATTTCAAACAAGCATTTGAATCTTATTATGATGAAAATATTTATTCCATATTTACAGGTGCATTTTCAAGACAGAGATATTAACAAATTTGTAATAAAGTATGAAATTTTTAAGGATGAATTATTTTTTTTTCACTTTCCATAGCTAAAATAGAGAAAAAAAAATTATTTCTTGTTCCTAGTTGTTAATCTTCATTTTCAAGAAAAATAGATACAATAGATTGTAAAATTTTTACATAAAATGGATTTTCAGGTGACCATCTTGACCAAATTAATTAAAATACTTTTTATTTCACAGAAGGATTTAATAATTGTACCTAATTTAAAACTTTCTATAAAATCTATAAGACAATTGCATCATCTTTTAAGATAGGATCTATTAAGAATTCTACAGATGATTTAATAAGATTTTATAATAATAAACCTTATTTTACTTATTACTATTCGAGTGGAAAAAGAGTATCAATAAAATCTAATAAGATAATTGTTGATTTAATGTATTTCTTAGTATTTTATTGATCATGTAAAATCAAATACAAACCAGCACAATCTTTTAACTTACTAGACATTGACTTCTATATAGGAATTATAGGATTCAACTATTAATTTAATTTATGAATGTAACTTAACCAAAATTCAGTTTTTTTATCAAACATTCTATCTTTAGTTTCTTCTTCAAGTTAATGCCAAAGAAAATGAAAAATTTATATAATCTCTCCTAGAATTATCTCAGTAAAATTAGTTTCATCAATAAATCCTAAATATTAAATAGAAGCTAAAATAAAATGATTAAATTTACATAATATATCAAACAATATTTCAATGCATACAGAATCATAATTAATTTAAGTGCATGAATTTTATAGAAACTCCTCCAAAAATAATCGAACTTACTCAATAACTTTAGGATTTTTTGATTCTATCCAAATTCTAATAGATTAAAGGATTAACGTTGTTGAAATTGAATTTTATAGTAATTTTAGATTAGAGAATACTAACTTAGAAATCTAACAATTTCTTTCTTCATTAATAGTAAATATTTATCTAATTATCTATTTTGTTATGTGTAATTTTTCATCTTTATTATCTATAAATAACTTCAATAATTCAATTAAATATTCTGTGTCATGTTATCTAATATTTTTAATTGTTTCTTAAGGTAATTTAGATTAAAGTTAATCAGTTAAGAGCATTTGATTAATACAAATAGCTATCAATGATTATCCTTCTATGTGATTGTTAAAAAAAGAGTCTTTATTTAAATCCATCAAAATAATGTAGGCCTTTTTATAAAATAATTTTGAATCTTCTATATCATTAATGTGGTCAATATCTTTATCAATTTAGTTTTGCTCTGCTAAGTTTAAAAGTTATGTTGATTAATTTAGAAGCATTATTACACATTCAAAAAAAATTGATCTTAACAAAGAAGGGGAATTATATGTTATTGAAAGTAATTGATCAGAATTCTTATTACTTATCTTAATGATGATAAGCAAAAATTACTTATATACAGCATAAATGAAATGTTATTTCTCAACATACATTATGTGATAGCCAAAAATAAAGTAGGTGAGTAAAATCACTTTTTGATTTATTGTATTAATTTAACTTAGCTATTCTTAATTAAATTAAACTTTCTCTTTGCTTAACATAGCAATTTAATTACTAATTTCTTTTAGACAATCAATATTTTGTAATTCTGTTAAGTAGTTATTATATAGCCACTAGCTGCTTAAAAAGGATTTATATTCTTCATACTAGATAGTTGAAATTCTTTATTAAAAGAGCATTAAATTAATTAACTACATTATTAAGCACTTTAAGTAAATACATCATCAATATTATAAAAATCAAAAAAATCGTCAGCTGCAGGATTCGAACCTGCGCGGGTGAACCCAGTGGATTTCAAGTCCACCGCCTTAACCACTCGGCCAAACTGACTAGAATAATACTTGTTATTTAAATAACTATATATTCAATGTTCTTTCAACCTCATTTCTAATTCAATATCATGAATCCTATAAAACTTAGAGATCATAATCTTTTATTAATTATTTCAGTTATTTTCAATCTATCTAATTTGTTCAATAAATCTCTCTCACAAAAAAAAATATTTGATTAATCATCCAAATATAATTTTATTCCCTCATATTACACTTGATACTATTAGATAACTTCATCTTCATTAAATTTACAAATGCAAAAACAATTAGAGACACAATCTTTCTTTAATAAATTTATTATTAATTATGATAATTCTTATTTATAAAATCCGATGTTTATTATTATTGAATTTGATATATCTTGGTTGCAAAATGAGAGAAATACATGATTTTAATTAGAATATTAGATTAGAGAAATTTTAATATAAATGAAATATAATTATACTATTATGTTTTCTCAGAAAATACTAATAAAAATTCTGAAATCTAATATCACTTATTTATAATTATAGATATACAATATACTGAAGATTTTATGAGATAAATATAAATTATTATGAATATTTTTAGCATTTAGATGGTAAGAATGATTTTCTGAATAAACTTATCGAATAAAGATAAGATTATTGATTTATGGTTAGAATTTAGAAGTGTTAGATAAAAGATAAAATTTATAAATATAAGATAAAAAATAATTAGAAAGAATTTTTATAATGAAATAAAATGTATTCACTATGTATAAATGATAAAAGATAGATGTCAAATCAAAGACGTCTTTAATTTTAAGATTATGAGAATTCGCATAGCCGTTTTGTGAAATTCCATTTACAAGTTTATTTTGTAATAGAAAGACAAGCTTTCATATTTAAACCAGGAGTTGGTGGTAAGCAAGTAATTGTATCACCGTATTCTAGAGGTATACACAATGCTTTTATAGGATTATAATAGACAGGGACTGAATTAACCAATGCACAAGTATTTACATTAACTAATAAATGTGTAGTTGGTGTTACAATTTAATTAGTTTCTTGAATTTAAGTACATTTACCATTGAACCATTTGCAATATTAACGAATAGTAGTTATTGATAAACAAGATAGATAACTTAATTTATCATTGCAAATTTGATTAGAATTTTGAATATAGGGTTAGCATGTTCCATATTCAACTTAAATGGGTTCAGTAATTTTCATAGTTTTAATTTGATGAAAATCAGTTTTCCATATGCAGAAAGTAGAAGTTTGACTAATACAAGCAATTTTATTTATGTTATCAAAGCATTAATTAGTAGAATGATAATATGATTAACATGAACCATCTTTAAATTAACACATTTGACCAGGTCTAATAATGTTAAGACATGCTCTAAAAGAACCATTAAGATTGGCAATGTCATGGCAAAGTTAATGAGCTTGAGTTTCATGATATTTACATGATTCATTAAGCCAAACACAAGGAAGTTTAGGAATATTTCTACATTATGAAGATGATTAAAGTTAATCGCAAGAAGTAGGTTAAAGTATTTGATGACATGAAGATGACTATAAATCAAAAACACAATTAATATCAGTAGATAGTAGACATGTTAATTTAGAAGTGTTTGTTAAATTACAAGATGTAATAGCAGTTTCATATTTAATACACTATGTACCATTCCATTAACATTTTAATATGTCTTACAATAAACAAGTGTTTTTATTTGGTGCTTTATTACAACAATCGAATATGGTGTTATCACAATCAAAAATAGGTTAAGTGGGGCCAAAACAGAATTCAAAGAATCGACATCTAAGGTCTTATTTAGTATAATTAAGACAAGCATATTCATTAAGACCTCTTATACAATCTAAATTATCTGAGGACAAAGATTCAATACATCTGTTTTCAAACTAACTATATCTACAAGGAATATCATTTGGTTATTCACAAAAATAAGGCGAATTAATATTTACAATAGATTCACAAGTAAGTAATTTAAAATCATCTAAATTTTCTAAACTACAAACTGAAGACTAGAAACGACAATATTATTATGGAGTTGTTATGGATATACATGCTAATTTATTAGCTACTTAATCACATTGAAGAGTATCCAAATCTGTTGCAAGAATACAATTACCATTTTCAATTTTGCAAGGTTATACTTTAACATTTTCACAATCTGATCCACCAGTACAACTAGCTGTTATTTCTAAACAAAATTAATCAAATTAACAATTAGGAATAGACTAACAAGCAATTTTATTTATTCCTCTTATACAAGCAGTTAGTGGATCAGCTACTATATCAATTTATTCACATTATTTTATATAAGTATTAAATTTACATGGAACATCATCAGCTTACTCACAGAATTCTTGTCTATTTACATAACCAATATTTGTACAAGATTTTACACTTATGTTTTAAGGTACAATATATTGGCATTAATAATCTAAATAGATACAAAATTAGGTTGGATTGCTTATTTAAGAACATGTAAATTTATTAACAGGTTAGTCACATGTTAAATCACTTAAAGTTTATGGATCTACCATTACACATCCATCTGTTGTATAAATTACTTAAGTAGTTGAAGTTTAATATTTCATACATGCAGCTTAATTGAATGAAACTACATTGGACCAAGGTTCATCTATATTCATATCATCTGTTACTGAAACGCAAGTTTAAGTAGCTCTATCATATTTACATGCAACTGTTTCTGATGCTCTACAAGTTATTGGATTTGTTGGAGTTAGATTATAACAATCAATCACTAATGTTGGTTCTAATGTAATACATCCATTCTCAAATTTACAATATTGTTTAGCCGTCTTTATAAATAAACATTTATTTCTATTTGTGTAATGTTGACAATTCAAATTTGTTTCATAAGTTACTATACAACTATTGCTTTATTCATTAAATCTACAGAATTCTTATTATGTGTTCATTTAACAACCATATTTATTTAATCCACTCTAATTACAAGTTAAAGTAGTCACCTCTGTTGTAATACATGAATGACTCTCATTATCATATATACAAGCTATAGTATCAGATGATCTGCTAGAACAACTAAGTGGAGATACAATTATTCCTGCCAAAGAAATGCAAGTTTCAATATCTTTAACTGCTTAACATTTATTTTAAAAGAATTTGCATTTCTATTTTACTTAAGTACAAGCATTCCAATTATAACTTGTATCACAATTTTATGCTTTTTTCAAATCTGATGTTGATAATTCTAAACACATGTTCTGAGAGAATTAACACATTCCTTTAGTTTATTTTAAACATGTGATTTCGTTCAATCCTTGTGTGATGCAACTATAAATAAATGGTTTATCCTTATTTGCATCCACACAACAACCTTTTATTTCATCATAAAATAATTGAAGTGTTTACCCTTCTAATTCTTTGAATACTTTGCAAACTGAAGGTGAATAAGGATAACTCATTTCAGTTGTTATTTCTGCTATCGTAGTGAATGTACTCACATCATAATCTGAACATTAGTTATTCTCAAATTTACATGTTTGATTCAAACTAAAACATGCCATTTTATTAATTGGAGATGTGCATGATACTTTCTCTAAGTCTTTGATAGGCTTACATTAACCATCTATAAATTAACAATATCCTTATGAATGTAGAATACATCCTAAATTATTCAATCCTGCTGTTTCACATGATGCTTTATCTTTTATTCCTAAAGAATTACATCTTAAAGTTCTATCTCTAAAACATGGTAATCCATTTATTTATTAACAAGATTTTGGATTAAACTTTACTAAATTTTTACTACTATTAAAAAACTCAGAACATTTACTAATTGATTCTTTATATTCAATTTCATAACATTTTTAATCTTCTTCAGACCAACCACAAGAAACTTTATTTAAATTTAAACAACCAAATTTATTAGCTTTAGAACAATCCACACTATCCAATGGATAATCTTCACATTTTCCATCCAACCATTAACAAGATTATAAATTACTAATAATACAAGCTAATTCATTTCCATTTTACTTTCTAATTAAAGAACATTCGGAATACACATCTACATTTGAACATAATTAAGTTTTTGGAGATACCCAACAGGCATTTTGAATTTTTGGACAACCATAAGAATTGGTTAATGAACAATCACTTAATAATTATACATCTTCATCACTTTATTCTATACAATTAGTTCCTGACCAAGCACAATTCTTATCTGTAGTCATAGATAAACATCCAAACTTATTTGTATTCTCACATCCTTATTAAGCAACAAAAAGTTGAATACATTAATAACTTGCTTAATCATATGCATATGCACCATCTAAACAATAAATGCAAGACTATAAACTAACGTATAATTGAGTTAATGATAAACATGTTACTTAAGCAGCTGCTACACATAACTCTTTTTCAAATGCACATGGAAAATTCATCTATGCACAAATTGTTCTCTTTACAACAGCTTTTATTGTCAATTTATTTATGTATTAACATTAATAAAGATAGAAAGGACTATCTTTATCAAATGAAGGTATGCTAAACTTCTATTAACAAAAACCTAAAGTAAAATCACATCCATTTGAAAGGCAGGCATTATAACTAAATGTTTCATTACATTTCTTTTTCTTTGTATCAGATGAACATTTTGTTCCATCATAATAACAATTATCACTAACTCTACTGCATACAATTGGACTAGTACTACCTATATCTTCAGCATCTTTACATTTACTGGGAGCAGTTTATTTACAAATCTATTCTGTTTTATTAGGAAAACCACTACATGAACCTATTTTTGGAAATTCTACATTTTTATCATTATCTATAACACATGGAGCATTAGGATTTCTAGATTTCAAACAATTTGTGCCAATTATATTTTCACATGATAATATGAATTATTCATTGTTATCAATTTTATAACATCCACCCATAGTAAGATCAAAAACACATTTAGATGATAATTATAAACAAACACCTTTACTAAATATATTACGACAATCATCATTTTTGTAAACAATAGGTGTGTCTTCACACCATGAAACTAATGCTTCATATGGTTTACCATCTGAATTTATCAACCATCTTAATTCTTATTTCCATTCTAAATCTTTTAATGCCATAATTTGACATGTATTTATATCTTCATCCCATTTACAATATTTTTCAACTCTGCATTATTACATAAATTCATCATCTTGTTTTTTTGGATCCCCTGTTTTTTAACATTATAATTCTCCAATATATTCTTCAAAATCATAATTAATTGAAGCACAGGATATTTTATTATATAAATAATCTGCAGCTTAATCTCTAAGTTAACTGCATTTCATGGAATCATCAATTCTAATATATTTACATTCATAAGTGGATTTAACAAAATAACAAGATTATGGAACTTCTGAACACATTTATAAACTTATCAAATAAGGTGAATTACAAGAGGTTTGTACTCCAAAAAAAGTTTGACATCTATTTTCAGCACTTTATGTTTTATCAAAATAACATTTTTATTTTAATGTACTAAATAAACATGCATCTACATTTAAAATTTAAGTTCCATCACAAAATATATTAGGTTCTAATGGATCAGTTGGATTAGCTTATGGTTTATATAAATCCTCATTTGTTAATTATATACACTTGTTTGTATCCTTGTCAAATCTAAAAGGAGCTCCAAATACTTATACACATGCTTCTGCATTATATAAATTATCTGGTAATATAAATGTAGCCATAGAACTTCTCAATTTAATACATTTTAATTTAACAACATTCCATTCACAAGCTTCTAAAACTATTTTTAAACATAATTCTTTATTAACATTATCTTCACATTTTAATTGTTATATTGGTTAATCATTTTCATAACAATACATTTCTTTATCATTCCATCTACAATCTCCTTTTGTTTTTGAATAACAAGCAATAGAATTACCATCTGTCAAATCACAATTATCAGATTCTATTGATAAATCAACACAAACATGATTAATTTCATCATATCCACAAATTTACCCATCTAAATTAATATTCATACATGCAAGTTTACTAACTTTTCCAGTTGAAGATCCAAAATATCCACATGCTACAGATCTAGGTGAATCAATGCATTTATCAGTTAAATAAGAAAAGAAACAACTTGCTTTTTAAATTTGAATGCAAGCAAATTCATTCAAGTATTAATCACAATAGTTTAGAGTTTATAGATATTGAATATCAATATTTTTACATTTTAATTCTTATTTATCCCATCTACAATAAATATCTGTATATTTGACTAAACATGCATTACTATTTAATTCTGTAGATTCACAATTTAGTAAATCTATAATAGGGGGATCAGAAATACAATGTTTATCTTAATATCCAAAATATTTGAGTGAATTTGATGCTGTTTACATAGCTTCAATAGATAAACATGCATATTTATTCAATATTTAGGTTGGTTAAGTAAATACATCTAAATTTGGAAATAAATTAAAATTAATATTGACACATAGATTTCCATTAAAATAACAGTGTTATTAAGTTGACCATTCAATCATATGACAAGAATTTTTATTCATAGATGAACATTTGAGTTATAATGAATTATAAAAATCCTTAACTTATTTTTCAACAGTAATATCAACAATATCCATAGTAAGTTCAGTACATTTTAATTCTTTACTAAAATAACAATACTATCCTGTAGAAAAGCGACCACAAACATGTGAATTAATACCAAGAAATTCAGAGCAACAAGGAGTAGAACAAATCCCTTTAAAGACATTACAATTACCACCTTCATATATGCAATAACCTTTCATTTTATCAATTAATGGACCTTTAACAGCATCATATTCTGGTAATTCCATTTCAATAGAAGCACAAACATTTGGATTTATTAAAATACTTTTACCAGTATAAACTGAATTATAATCTAAACAACTTTCATTAAATGAAACATATTAAGATGAGCATCTATTCTCTCTAAATAACCAAGTGCATTTCTAACCAACTTTAGTAATTGATCTACAAACATCAGGAGTTGGTGAACTTTTAACACAATCAGAGTCTAATAGTAATTTATCTGTTAATTTTTTAGTAACATAATTGGCAGTTATTACTTAAATTTATTTACATTACCATAAAATCTTATCATAATAACAACTTTTAATTTATATCTATGCACAAGCATAAGGATTTAAACCAGGATAAGTACAAGACATAGATTCAGTATCTAAACTATTAACACATCCTTTTGCTGTTTATTCATATCTACAAACCTCTTTACCTGCTTCTACTAATGCACAAGCAGCTGGATTTACATATAACATTTATAAACAGAATATTTAAGATACATCTTATTTTGTTTTTATTTATTAACATGAATTATTAAACCATCTACAAATTTGACCAGTAGTTAGTACTTATGCACATGCAATTCTACTTAATCCCATTCCTGTGCATTCTATTCTTTTTAACAACTAATTATCAACTAATTTGCATTATTAAGAATCAATATCAAAATAGCAACCATCTTCATTTGATTTCAATATCTATGAACAGGCTATTTAATTTGCAAATCCTAAATCTAAACAACTTGTAATTTCTTATGTTATTTAAGCATAAACACAACCACTATCTAACCATTAACAAGGAACTCCTAATATAGAGGTACATCCATTTAAATTCAAATATGAAGATGTACAATCATCACTCTCTATACTCTTTTCACACAATTTTGTTTTTACATTATATTTACATCTAACACCTGGTTTGGAGATAGATTGACAAACATTTCCATTAAATTTAACATATTTATCTACATTAGATATAGGACAATCTAAATCTTAATTTATAAACATTGAAACACATTGTGATCCAGTCCATTTACAAAATTAAAATTAAGTTGTCACATTTACACAAGAATCTTCATTTAGATTATCACATAAAACATTTGATAATTCTTCATTTGATAATCTTTTACATTAACCATTATTGAATTAACAATAATCATCTTTTATATCTAAACAAGTGTCTCTACTCAAACCCTCTTATGAACAACTTTAATCATTCTTTTTAGGAACTATGCATCTTCCATTCTAATATTAACAAAACCCGTTTTGCATAGCACAAACATTAGGATTTACATCTACGTAATCCTAACATCTCATTGTCTCTTTAATAATTGCATCTTAACATTTATTTTTATACCATTAACACATTAAATTAGTACTCATTACTGTTATACACATTTCCTTATTAACAGAATCACTACATGATGTCATTTCATTTGTCTCTTAACACTTCATATTTTTAAATATGCCTAACATACTTACAATAATTACATTTTTATCTAGTAATTCTTACACAAGCATCTTCATTTAAACCAACTGTATTACAATCTAAATATTAAATCTATTCATCCTTTATGTTAATGCAAGCATATTCTCCTTCCTATTAACTACTCATACAATTAATTCCCTTTATTTTAGCACATGCACTTGCTGTTACAGGAGCTTTGTAAACCTCAGAACAATATGATATTTCTATTGCTTTCCATTATGCTAATTTGCATTCATTACCATTCCAAAAACAATCATTTCCAATTACATTTGTACAAGCGTTTCTAGAAAATTATTTTGAGCATCCCAAATTCATCAAATGACTTTCTTATGCATCCATACATCGTTATCCAAAGTAACCTTCAAATAATATTCTAAATCATACATCTAGCTTCACTACCATCACTATTTTTAAGTTAATTTAAACATGCCATTTTATTCAAAAAAGGAATACATCCTGCATTTGTATTTTGAATTGGCAAACAAGAATTATCAAATACACTAAATTGACCTAAATTATTTAACTTCTTTTTTACACATTATGCCTTCAGTTTTACTTATACAAGCTAAAGGATCCATTGGATAGTAATTACAAACCATGCATAATGAATTAGAAACAATTATCAACAACACTATTACCTTTATTAACATTTTAAATATTGAAATCATTGTATTATATTTAGAAGATTTAAACTTATGTTTTACTTTCATTATCTCAAGATAATTATAATCAAATTCGAAAATTAAAATTTATTATTACTTCTTTCTTTAAACATAGTATTATACTTCCATTATTAATCCAATCTTTCTTATCAATTCACTTTTCTTCCATAATAAACTAATTGAATCTATTGTACTTTTCATTCATTAATAAACATCATCCTTTTTTGTTTTTTTTTAATTACTTTCTCTTAATTAAATTACAATCTTGTAAAAATAACCTAATATTCTATTCCAGTATCTATATCCGAAATTTATTTAATCTTAATACTCTCGATATGTTACTTTATTACACTATTTTTTTAATTTTCAACATTCTATCCTCAATTTATTTGGATCGAATTCTAAACTGAAGATAATATTAATTTACTTAATACATTTATTTTAATAGGTATCATTTTATTGGAATCATCATTTTTTTAAATACTAATATTAATTAAAAAAATATGTTTTTTAATTCATTAATTTAATTATTTTAGTATTAATATTCTTAAATCTGCTTAATATATTGTGAATGCTTCAAAATTTAAGTAACAAAACTAATAAAAATTTAAATATATATTTATAATTTTATATTATAAAAAATTATTTCTAATCAATTTTAATTAACGAAGAGATATTTTTTTCTTTTTTTTCTTTAAAATTTGTCTTATTTTCATAGAAATGGGAGTTGTTCTGTTATTTTAATTTAATTATATCAATAAATAAAGGATTAGCTGGGTATTATTTAAAAAAACGATTTTATTTAGTAAAATAATATTATTTTTATAATGCATAACGAGTTTTAATCGCATAAAGGCAAAAAATAGTTTTAAATTGAGTCATTTTTGTCTGGAAGAATAATTTAAGCAAAAAAACTCAATAATAGTTTTCTATTTTATAACTCTAGAATGATCACGCTATTAAATAATAGAATGCTTGTTTATTACAGTAGATGTTTTAAATGGTCTTCTACATCGTTAGAAAAGATCAAGTAAAAGCCAAAATTTGGAGTATATTTTAATAATGTTTATCATTCATGCATAAAATAATCAGAAAAAGAAGTTGAACTGATTGTTAAATTTAAGAAGTCTTAACTTTATTATTTTGAAAATTTGTCTGATAGTTATGTGAAAGAGCCAAGATCTTAAGAGATTGTGTTGTGGATTTTCCAAATATCAATTAGTAATTTAGAAACAAAAGAAAAATTTCAGTCATTTAGAGAATTCGATAATCATTCATTTTATACAATCAAAGGAGCTAATTAGGATGAAAAAACTTAGAAAAGCATATCATAGCAGGTTAGAACTGAAAAAACTACAATTGATAAAAAAACTATATAGAAAGATTGTTAAAATATAAAATAAGTTTAATGGTTGGATTTATAAATTGAGAATTTAATTCATCACAATAATTAATTGCAGAATAATGGCTTAAATAGCGAATAAATAAGTTAAGACGATTAATGGGAAATAAACGAAGAGAACTTCGATTTAATGAATATCTAAATTAAAAGATCATTCTTACCATGTCTCATTACTAACAAAAGATTAAATTGACTATATTGTTATTTCTTTTTGATAATGTAATTTATTTCTATAATTTAATATTTTAATCCTTTGTATTATTTCAAAGTCGTTATATATCATCAAAGTTTCAAATAGATATAATTATAAATCTAATTAGCTTAAAGAAAGACCAATAACTTATTTAGTGAAGTAAAGAAATATTATTAAAAATATTCGAGAGCTAAGAATTAATTAATTTTAATAATTTTTTTTGATTATAAGTTTAAAAATAGATTATTAGATTTTTTTAACAGAACTAAATCTCTTTTTGCTTTAATTTCTTTTTATTGGATATTTTCAACTAGTTTTTTTCAGTAGGTCTAAAAATTTAAAGGTTATTTAAAAAATGTAATACCATCTTATTAAATAAAAAATTTGAATAGTCTATGACATTTTTAATTGATTAAGAATTAGTTTAGGTAATTTAATTTGATTATAAATTCTATTCAATTACTTATAAGAGATTGAGTTTTATTGATTTAATTAATGATTCGTTTTCTACTTATATAGTATATACATCAGTGATAATAAATTAGTCAAGAATGAGGGATTATGGCTGCAATCTCTACAATTATATTAATTCTACTATTGAAATTGATTGAATAATAAACTATATAATTAAAATGGGATAATAGCAATCATAATAAAACAATTTTTTTTGGCCAAGTAAGGGAGAAGTAAAGTTATGGACTCACTCTTAAATAAAAGTTAATTTCATATTTTATATAAGACCATATCTGAAGGAGATTCTAAGTTCTCAGAATAAAATAATGAATCTGTAATAACTTGCCCAAGTGAATACTCTTTAAGTTGGATAACGAAATAAAATCAAATTTAATTTACTTCAACGAAAATTTCAGATGGAGTTAAAGTCAAATTTTTAGTTGATCAAGCTAATGGTAAACTAATAAGTAATTTATAAACTCAAAATTTAGAAACAGAATACATTTAACTTGAAAAGGTTGAAAAATAAGTAGTTGATGAACTACAACCATAAATAATGTGGAAATGCTGGGTTGAAATTTGGCTTGGGTAAACTAAGAAGAATGTTATTGTGCTTAAGAAATAAGAAAGTTTAGAAAATGTTTAGTTGGAGAGTGGTTTAGGATCTATATATAATCCTGTTATCAAAGTCTATAGAGAAAGGAGAGGATAAATATAATTTCTAACAAGACAATTATGTTATTCAAATTAGAGTGATGATATGAAATCAAGCAAATACTAGATGAATACATAGTTTTGTAAATCTTAATTTTGGATGTTCAATTGGGACCTTAAATAGAAAGTAGTTCCTGATGCATTCTTTTTGGAATTATAAAATAAATTATCAACAGAATCTCTTTCTTTTTATCAGTAAACACTAAATTGAAAATGTTTTAATATTTTATAAACAAGAAATGATTATGTATTAAATACTACAACCTTTTTTCATTTAACATTTATTGTTAATATTTATTCCAAATTTTTTTATACAGATAAATTTTGGCTCTTTAAATAATTCAAATACTTCAAAATACTAAAATTGATAATTTCTTTTTCAAAGAATAAAATTAACTTCTTCTAAGAGAAAAGAAGAACAATTTTCCAAAATCTTAAAAGAAAGAATTTATTTTGAAACATAATTCTTAGTTATCATATTTAAAAGATAAAATAAAAGAAGCATTAAATAAATACAAAGACTATTATAAATACATCATATTTTCAATTTTTTTCTATTTTTATTCTTATCTAATAATCTTTGTATTTACTTTTAATCCGCTTGCAAGATTCGCAATACAAGTTCATAATCGTTATTGTAGGCTAATAATAAAGCCTCATATTAATGATCAGTAATTGTAGAAAAGTATTTTTACAATTATAAAAATGTATTGTAATGCTGATTAATTTTAATTGGAGGGGTCTTAGATTCTAAACTACTTAAACTCCAATCATCAAAATTTCTTTAGAAATCAAACTCATCATTCATGAACTTAGAAACTAAACTGGCCGATAATGGTTAACTAAGGTTTAAACTGGATTTTTCTGGTTCATTTCTCAAATATTTAGATATTTAAGGAGGTTATCTAACTGTTTAATAAATTTGCGGTTAAGCCTATGTTTTAGATTATTAATCATCATGACATGATAAATAATCATCTAAAATTAAATCATCTATATCATTTAGACATATTACTGATTCATCAGAACTTATAACAATAATAGCATTATTGTTACTAATATCTTAAGAAATCGGCTTATTAAGAATCTATATTTTTTCAATTTCAATTTATTGATGATTAACAGCCTCTTTGAATTTTTAAGGTTCTTATTTTGTTCTACAATCAATTAACGGAGCATTATTATTTATTTTTTTCACACATTTGATTTTGGAAGTTCTTTTTTAAACTTTCAATTATTCATTCACAAATATTTATTTATTTTGTGGATAATATTCATTCATGAGATTTAAACCTTATATAAAGTTTAGGTCAAGTTTTTAAGACTTCCAAAAATTTTCAATTTACTCTTCTTACTTTTTATTGGAATCTTTTTATTTTTTTCCTTTTTTCATAATAGGAAAAAATGAAATATTTATATTAAAAGGTCATGTTTATTTGATAAATTCTTTAATACTCATTATATAATATATCATTATTATTATGCTTATTTTTATTATTGGTATTATTGCAAATCATGTCTAATCTTTTATCCTAATAAATCTAATTCTTTCAAGAATAATTATTTAGATTCTCTAGCTCTTCTAGCTTATAAGAAATTGACAATAACTCTCTTTTGTTTTGGGCCCAACATAAACCAATTTTTAACATGTGATCTCAAAATCTCATCTTAAGGTATTGGTTTCGCTGCCTCAATTTATTCTTAGACTGTCGACTTAAATTATCTAATGACTTAATCCTCATTATTTTAAAAAAAAAGTTTACTTCTGTCTTTCCTTCAGGAATTTCATCTCCCAATCTAACAATTGGTTTATTTTTATAATCATATTTCTCTTTTAAATATTATTTGTAGTTCTCTTTCTTATGTTTTATTCTTAATGCTTCTTCAATATAAGAAACATCATCTTTTCCTAATTTAAGATCTCTTACTTTTGCTCTTAATAGATTAGATGTTATTTCTGGAACTTCAATTTCTTATTAAAGGATTTCTTATTGCTTACATATATACCAATAATTACTTTAGCTAAATATTATTCTGTCTTTTATTTAACATATTCATCCTCTAATTATCTTCTATATTTATCTCTTACGATTTCTCTTTCTTTTACAACTGTCTTTAATCTAGCCATTGATTTCTTCAATTATACAAGTTTTCCCATTCTACCCTTTACACCAATAACTTTTTTGAAAAAAATTCCATCTGATAATAACAAATTCTTCTCCTTCAACATCACATACCTATCATCTTATAATTCATCTTTACCATAATTTTGTTAAATCTTCTGTTGATTTTAATCTCAATTCTTCTATTTTCCACGATCTTCCTTATGAGACTTATTGTTTAGTGTCTTTTAATTATTATTTAGTCAATGCATCAGTGAATTATAACAATTTTTCACTTTAGGTTGCTGGAGCTTAAGCATTGAAATATCTTGTCTAAAACACCAATTTGCTCCATGTTTATAATAATATACGATTTATCATATATTGGAAATAAATAAAAATATTATTTCATTTATTAAAAATTTTTTTTTCAAATTTAACCAATTCAAAAAAAATTAAATATTTTCAAATAATCTTGGTAATTTTATGTGAATATCTTTCCTAAAATTTAAAATTTAATGAAAACAATCAAATTTTTAATTTTATTAAGGAATGATCATTAGAACTAATTAATCAAGGTAGATTATATTTTTTAATAGAATCACTAATCTCTAATTAACCTGATTGCCTCTAAAAAATTTATAACCCACATCTTTTAGAATCTAAATTATCTACATTTTCTAAAAATTTAAATAACCATATATCTTTTTTTTTGAATTCACTAATGATTCTACTGAAGCTTCATCGATTTTAACAATTGATTTAAAGTTTTATTTTAAACTTTTTTTATATTAATAATATCTGATAGAATTTAAACTTAACTTATTTGCTAAGCTAATTTATTATCAGATCATCCCTTTATTCATAAAATTTTGCTCACATAAAAATTAAGAACTTTTCATAACAGCTTTTTATCAAATTAAAAAAATTTTTTTTTTATTTCAATTATTGGTCATGCTATAATATATATTCTATTAATTCCAAATCAATTTTAATTTATGAAGATTTTGGAATATTATTTCTTTATAATGGATAGGAATTTATTCATAAGTTTATTATAATAATGAATTATGATATGATGTATGAAAAATATTTCTAATTTAAATATAATTAAAATGAATGCTTATCAATAAATTTAATTAAATATAAAAAGATTAGATGATTTAAGAATTACGCGAATCTTTTATTGGGCAATTGAAATCTCGATGAAAGTTAATTAAAAATTGATTGATATTTAATTAAACTTTTGGTTATTTTTCTTACTGAATGTTAATCTGAATTGTTTGATTAGATAAATTATGTTTGATTTATTTAATTAATATAAAATATGGATTTAGATTTTGAGTAGTTTTAGAGATATATTTAATCAGAGAATACTTAACATTCTAAGCTTGATATAAGAGGAAATGAAAAAGAAAAGGATCGAGGACATGATAAAAATAGAGAAAAACATTACAAAGATAATAATAGAGAAAGAGAGAGAGAAAAGGATAGAGAAAGAGAGAAGGATAAAGATAGAGAGAGAGATAAAAGTGCTGAAAAGAAAAAGAAAAAGAAAGATGATAAAAAAGATAAAAAAAAGTATGTTGAACGATATTAAATAAAAATAGAAGATCAAGGTCTGCTTCAAGATCTTCAAAGAAAAAAAAAAGTAAAAAAGATAAGGAGAGAGAAAAAGATAAAGATAATTAATAATAGGCTATAACAACATAATTGTTAATGACGAATGATATATAAAAAAAGAGGGAGATTGCTAAATAAAGGAAAATAGAAATTATGGAGGCAGAAATTAGAGAATTGGAAAGAAAAATTGTAGAAGTTGAGAGAGAATTAGAAGAAGCTCATAGATAAGATTTAACAGTTTTAATGTATTGTTTACCGCTCAAAGCAAAAGAAAAACACATATATTAATTCTTTTAAACAGTAAGTAATTCATAAATTGATATAGTTCAATTGTGGTAAAATAAGAGATATAAGAATTATTAGAGATTAAAAATCTGGAAGATCAAGAGGAGTAGCTTATGTTGAGTTTTATTAAGAAGAATCTATTCCAATGGCATTAGCATTAAATGATCGTTTATTTATTATGGATGGATAATAAGTAGGAACTATTCCTGTTAAAATATAATTAAGTTAAGCAGAAAAAAATAGAGCTGCAAGAGATTAAAAAAACATGCAAATAAAATAAAATAAATTACAAAGCATCTAAGATTTATAAAATATGAATGGTCCAGCAAGAGTTTAAATAACAGGAATGGCAGAATAATTATAAAGAATTAGTGAAGAAGATATTAGAGAAGCTTTTGTTCCTTTTGGAACTATAGAAACAGTTGAAATACCCAAAGATGAATCTGGTAGAATGACTGGTGTCTTATATGTTACATATGAGAAAGCAGAATCTGCTAGAAATATGATTGAAGTAATAAATAATTAACCATTTTTATTAAATGGAAAACCAATTAAAGTTTAATTAGTTTCGGGTGCTAATAATTATATGGATTTATAATTAGATGATGATTTAGTTTAAAATCCAGTAATGAGAATAACATTGATGAAAAAATTAATGGATGACAGTCTAATTGATAATGTATCTAAAGAAAATAATGTTTTAGATAAACTTACCTCCGCTTATGACTTAATTAGGACTTACTGTACAAAGAATTTTAAATATAATATAATCTCCTAATCCAACTTTAGGTTGTATTTCTGGATGGATGCCTTTAAAACATAATCCTCCAGCTTGTCCATGTATTACAAAAGTGATTGTTTTAACGAATATGTGGACCGATCTTGAGATCTCAAATTAAGCTGCTATTGTTGAATTAAAAGAAGAAGTAGAAAGTAATTAATTTTATAATTATTATCTTAATAGATGAATGTAAGAAATATGGAGATGTGGAAATGGTATGGGTAGACAAAAAAAATGAAGGTAATGTAATCATTGTTTTCAAATAATGGGAAGCAGCTAAATAAGTAAATGTTTTAATGAACAACAGAAAATTTGGAAATAAAGTTGTCTAAAGCTATTTCATAACAGAGAGTCAATTCATGAGCATTATCAAATGATTTAGTAATATAACATATATATATATAAATATAAGTAAATCATTCACTTCTGTAACTTAATGATATCTAAAATTGAATTTTTATTAAACTTTTTTAAATTCTCCATATTCTAATATTGTTTGTCAAAGTTTTTAGCTAAATTTAATATTTTATTAGACAAATCTAATGTGGCATCTTTGTCTACATTCAATATTTATAAGACTTAAGCAATCTATTGTTATATTAAAATATTACAATTTCATCACTTTACTCTTAACAGGAGATATTGGATCCAATAAATATACAAGCAGCTGATAATAATGAATAATTAAATTAGCTTATAAGTGTATAGTCATATACAATCATTTTAGCTAGATACACAACTATTTAATGCAATTTTTAAAATTAATTAATGAATTGTAAAGTAATTGTAATTATTTCATATAGAGTAACTCCAATTAATTTAAAATCTAAAGCATGTGCAATTTAACTCTCTTTTTCTTTAATTTCTTCTTTTGTTAATTTTTTATGTGCAATTTTTTCATGAACAGTTTATAATTTCACTGGAAATACTTCCTCAAATTTACATGCCATAAACATGCATGTTACTCCTATTAAATGTAAATCCTAAGGAACATGAGATTTTGTTGATTAATTTAAATAAGTGTCCATCAATCTGACAGCCATAAAAAATGTCTGATCTTTGCATTTATATGAAGTTAAAACTTCAATCATCCAATCTACCATCTTCGCTCTTAAAGAACTATTGATAGTATGTTTCTTCAAAAATTCTTATTTTTAAAGTGTATCATATATTTAATAATTTGTCAATATAGAATCACCATAATTATAAAGAAATCTATTTTGCTTAGACTTTATATTATCTTCATTGTTTTAACTTATTTAAGTTGTCTGTCTTATTTTAAGAGGAGAGTACTAAACATATATCTTAAGCATAATACTATCTAAATTGTAGTTGTACAAACTGTTGTTTTTTATTTTTGCTCTGGTCTATAATGTAAACTTGATACATTTGGATTTCTTTAAGTTAGAAAGTTTTGTTGAGGATATTATTAATTAATATCAATACTCTTAAATTCAATATCTTATTATTAAACATTAAATACTTGTTTGGCGATTCAATAAAGTCAATGAAACTAAATGTGTGAAAGATTTTTGGTTTTTTCTTTTTTCAATATTATTTGAAACTTCTGCTTAGTTTTCTTTCTCAAATATACGTCTAGTTGTAGTATCTTTCATTATAAGAATAAATTTTGTTTAACAGATAATTAATTAATGAAATTTATTAATAAACTTATTTTAATTAATACTGAATGAAAGAGCAATAATATAAATCTTTGCATGAAACTAACATAAGATGGTTTTTACTTTTTTTAACATGTATATTTTAGATTGGTTGTTCAATATGCATTGATTTTCCTTTTGTTCTTGCAACATAAATTTAAATTAGCTTTAATGTTGGTTAATAAGAAATTAATTATCTTTATGCAATCTATTCTATGCCTAACATTATCTTACCTTTTTTTGGAGGAATCATTATAGATAAAATAGGAATCAGAAGTGCATTACTCATTTTTTGTTCTTTTTTGATTCTTGGATAAGGTGTTAAAAATTATTATTTTAAAAGGTTTGTGTGTAAAAGGAGCGTTAAATAACGATTTTAACTTATTAGAATTTGGAATGTTCTTTCTAGGAGTAGGTGCTGAAGTAAGTTTGTTGGTTACTTAAAGTACATTACTAACAAAATGGTTTTTAGGAAAAGAGATCTCTTTAGCTTTTGGGTATATATTAAAATGATTTTAAAGAGTGCAATTGACATTTATTAGAATTGGATCTATAATTGCAGTTAATTCTCTTCCTTAAATATATATTAGAAATGGAGAAAACTTTGTTGCTTGCATGATTTATTGTTTGGTGATTATATTAATCACCACTTTATCCTGCATCATATAAACTATATTAGATTACATAAGTGATAAAAAAGATAATGATCAAAATTCACTATAATCTAAATAATTATTAGAATAACGAAAACCAATGTGCTGGAATGATTTAAAAGAATTTGATTATGCCTTCTATTTGATTTCTTTTAGCTGTATGTGCGGATATTGCATCTTTCTAATACTTCAATTAAATGCCCTTCGAATGTTTTAAATAAGGTTTAAATCTTTTATATTTTAAGATACAATTTAACATTTGCTTTCTAAACTTTATCCTATAGTTTACCTTATTTAATTTGTATTATTTTAACACCAATAATGGGCCATATTATTGATAAGTTCGGTAAAAGACCACTTTTTTTAATTCTTTCTGGTTTTTTGGCAACGCTTTCAATTCTCATTTTTTCATTAAATGTTGATTGTTAAATTTAGAATGAGTGTTTAAATTATGTAATCACTGCATAAATAATTAATGGAATATATTTTGCTATATTTGCTCCTTTGATTTGGCCTTGTATACCTATTTGTGTAAGCTAAAATGCAAAGGGAACTGGATTTGGGGTTGTTTGTTCAATGTAAAATGCTGGCTTAACTATTTTCCCAATTATTATAGGTAAAATTCTATCCGATGAGAATCCTAGGAGCTATTAACATATGGTTTATTTTCTTGGATTAATAGTAATTCTAGCAAATATTAGCAACATTATTATTTATTTTTATGATATATATCATGACAACAAACTTATGAAGCCAACAATTAAATTATCTGAATATGAAGTCGTTTCAGAATAAGAAGATGAATGATGTAGAAAATAGAATTATATAAGTATGAAATAATTCAAAATATTTTAAGATATAGAATCTTCATTATTTATAATTATTGCTTTTTTCAAATCAAAAATATTAATAATAAAAATTATTTTTCAAAATTAAAAATTGTTCATTTATTTTTAAGTGATTTTGACCAATTTATTCTAATAGATTAATGACCATTGATTTTTCTATATGAATAAAAGATTTTAGAACCTTAATCAATTTTATGAAAGCAAAAAGGATAATTATTTTCTTTTTTTATTGATAA